TATTCATGGATCATTTACAATGGATTTGTAATTTTAATTATGTTTATTTGTATTTTCATATGTATTTTTATAATGTTAATATAGACCATCTCGAGAGTGCATGCTACATGAACTAGTAACCTAGCCATAGGATACTGGGACATACACTGCATTTGATATAAAACACACTCTGACAAATTACATGTAATTGCTACAAAAGAGTTAAATTGTCATTAACAGCTCTCAGGAGAGATAAACACAGTTATGACCCCAAAAAGATGGAGGAACCAGTTAGAACTACAAGAAAATGGCGCCGTAACACTATATAAGGAGTTGGGTATTGTGATTGTCATACTACATCCCCCGGAGGAAGGCACGAGTCCCTGTGGAGATACGCGTTGGGGAGGGGCAGTGACATCACCACGCATCCTTACACGGCGAGCACTGGTAGTGTATGCGAGCACACCCGAGAGGTGGGTCTTCACCGCTTTAAGCGGCTATTATACAAAGTGCAGATTGTTTTTAATCAATGTGAGTGCATATTGAGCGCATATTAAAGTGTTTATTTTTATCAATGATAAAGCACTATGCACTTTTCTCTATTTACATGATCTGTATGAGGAATGCTTAAAGGTATGGATCAAGGAAAGATCTGAGGAGGAAGAGATCCATATGACCATTCAGGCTTACATAGTAGTCCTCTATCTGCAACCTTCACCTGCATCACCTCAGGCTGATTGGAAGGAGAAAACACAGATATTTCATCCCTGCTGAACTCTGCACCAAGTTTGTTTTGCGTTTTTGCACAAAATCCATTGAATTTTTACCTTTTATTTATTTTCCATATTTTTCAATTTTTATTTTTGATATTTATTTATTATTGGATTATTTATTTAATCATCGAAGGACACACATTTGAATAATTTTACACAGATTTTTTTGTTGTTTTTTTTTATCACCAATTTTGATATATATTTTTTAATTTATTCATTATTATCAACATTTGTTTGGGTATTGATTGGCATTACAATCATGTATGGTTACACATAAGAGATCATGCAGCTATTAGAGATTTAATGCAAATACAGTTTTTATACTATATACAGGTAATAGGTCTTGATACAGTGCGGCATCTATATTTTCTTTATTTGTATGCACTGATAACTCACATTTATGGAGGTGAGCAAGATAGCCTGCAATCCTATTGATAGGAGCCGTTTATTATACACCTTATTGGCTCACAAGTAAAAAAAAAAATTTTTATATTCAGACGTTTATAAGTAACATGACTTCATATCACCATAAAGTGATTGGATTATTATTTAAGTGGAATTTTATCTATAACAACTTTATGAATAATAATGTTATTTAGGTTCTTTAGCTATAAATGTACTGTACATTCCACATTGATAATTATGCTACCAAAATTAGTGTGTGCTGTCAACTGCCTCAGGCATTGTTCCCGTTTCTTCTTGCAGGTGGCTGCCATTTTGCTGAAGCCCAGCATCCTGAGCAGCAGTAATCATTTGGCTGCCAGCAGATCACCCTCTTGATTTTTGGCAGTGCCAAAAAACGGAGAGCAACTGAGCATATGGAAAGCAGGGTGAGACAGTGTATTATAAGGTTTTAAACAGTATAGACACTATTTCTAATGTTTTACATAGCTATACCTGCAAAAGGGGCCAACTTGAAGTGATCTAGCAGGACTTTCTGACTTTGCAATCCATTTACGTGCAATTCAAGGATTTTAGCAAATTTCACTGCAGTTTCCTACTGCTCCTGTACTGAAAAATTCTATTTATTACAGGTATTTATATAGCGCCAACAATTTACATCCTGAACTAAGAGCCAATGATAATCTATCTAAAAGACTCCAGTATCTAACTTGTATGTCAAACCAAAGATTGTTTCTAGTGTTGGATAGAGCTGGGAAGGATTGGAACTTACAGTGCCTTGAAAAAGTATCCATACTCCTTGAAATTTTCCACATTTTGTCATGTTACAACCAAAAACGTACATGTATTTTATTGGGATTTTATGTTATAGACCAGCACAAAGTAGCACATAATTGTGAAGAGAAAGGAAAATGATAAATGATTTTCAAAATTTTTTACAAATAAACATCTGACAGGTGTGGCATGCATTTGTATTCAGCCCCCTTTACTCTGACACCCGTAACTAAAATTTAGTGGAACCAATTGCCTTCAGAAGTCACCTAATTAGTAAATAGAGTCCACCTGTGTATAATTTAATCTCAGTATAAACACAGCTGTTCTGTTCCTAAGGCCAAACGCTATGTGTGGCGGAAAACTATCATTGCACATCACCATGAACACACCATCCCCACCATGAAACATGGTGGTGGCAGCATCATGTTATGGAGATACTTTTCTTCAGCAGGGACAGGGAAGCCAGTCAGAGTTGATGGGAAGATGGATGGAGCCAAATACAGGGCAATCTTAGAAGAAAATATGCTAGAGTCTGCAAAAGACTTGAGACTGGGATGGAGGTTCACCATCCAGCAGGACAACAACCCTAAACATACAGCCAGAGCTACAATGGAATGGTTTAGATCAAAGCATATTCATGTATTAGAATGGTCCAGCCAAAGTCCAGACCTAAATCCCAATGAGAATCTGTGGCAAGACTTGAAAATTGCTGTTCACGGACGCTCTCCATGCAATCTGACAGAGCTTGAGCTATTTTGCAAAGAAGAATGGGCGCAAATTTCACTCTCTAGATGTGCAAAGCTGGTAGAGACATCCCCAAAAAGACTTGCAGCTGTAATTGCAGCTTAAGGTGGTTCTACAAAGTACTGACTCGGGGGCTGAATACAAATGTACGCCACACTTTTCAGATATTTGTAAAAGGGGTATGAATACTTTTTCAAGGCACTGTATGTTATATTTGTACTGCTATCTGGGACTCTGTTAAAATGGGAGTAAAGGCTAATATAAGTTTGCTTAACCACCTTCTGCCCAACCTATAATAAAATGATGGCCAAGCAGGAGCGCTGCCATCCTGGGTGGACTTCAAAGAATGTCCTCCTAGGATCAGGCCGCGCTGTGGTGCAATCTGTCACCTGCTGTGTTCACTGGACACAGCAGATGACAGATCAGTGTACTGGGCCGTTGCCGATACCATATGATCGCTGTGACCAATCACACAATTATACACAATGAATGGCTTCCGTTCAAAGCCATTCATGTGTAATAATGTGTTGATCCCTGTGATTGGTCACAGTGATCACATGGTACAGACAGGGGCAATCACAGCCCATCTATACCATGTAATAGGCTGTGGCTACTGGTTGCTTACAGTGATAATCAGCGATCACACTGAGTAAAAAAAAATTAAATCAGTAAAAAAGAAATAAAACTATAACCAAAAAAAAAAAGTTTTAACAAATTGAAATACTCACATACTGTCACCAGTGTCCCTGATCACTGCCATATCAGGTATATGATGATGCTGTACTGCACTGGTGATGGTATGTAAAAACAAATTGTGAATAAATAAAATGTTTTAATTTCTTTCTTTTTCCAAAAAGGTGTGACAAAAATTACAGCTTCATAAAACTCTCCATGCTAAATACTTTGGAATGTCTATTTTCCAAAAAGGGGGGTATTTGTACTGTCCTGGCATTTTCGGGCACCAAGAAGGCTGTCAGAGATAGGCTGTCCAGTACATTAGAACTGATCAATTTTGTATAATATACTGCATTTAACATAGTTTGTGGACTCTATAACTATCATACATACTAAATTATATACACTGATTTGGGTTCTTTTAACCAAAGAAATGTAGCAGAATACCTTTTGGCCCAAGTTTATGAAGAAAGATTTTTCATTTTCAAAATTTTTTAACAGAAACAAAGAAAAATGCATTAAAAAAAACCAGTGGCGATTAAATACCATCAAAAGAAAGCTCTATTTTTGTGAACAAAATTATACAAATTTCACTTGGTTATAGCGTTGCATGACTGAGTAATTGTCATTCAAAATGTGACAGTGCTGAAAGCTGAAAATTGGCCTGGGCAGGAAGGGGGTGAAAGTGTCTGGTATTGAAATGGTTAAAAATGTTGCCTCCCATCCATACCTATGCTGTAAACAGTTTAAAATAGAGTAGTGTAAATACCTTTTTTATTCAGTTTGGGTGCAGTCACCTGCTTCACAAGCAGTGGCTCCCCTGTGTCAGTGAATAGCTGCTGCAGAAGATGAGAGGGAGACCAAAACGGAGTGGCAATAGAAGCCAGCAGGTGGCATCGTGGCTCCATGAATTTAGCCCCTTGTTGTGCACTCTCTGACATAGGGGAGACACTGCTTCTGGAATACTTGACTGCACCCCAGCTGAATAAAAAAAGGTATTTACACTGATCTATTTAGAAACAAAATACAACATACAGTGCTCAGCATAAATGAGTTCACCCAACAGATTTGTCAGAAAACCTTTACTTTCCTTTCAGAATCAACATTTTCTACGGGACATTATACTACAAAATACTCCGACAAATATGGGCGATTGATTGCAAACAAGATTTGTTAAATTTGCACACAAAAAAAAGTATTTTTTCTAACAAATTCATTCAAGTCCATGTTGCAAAAATGAATACACCCCAATGAAAGTCTTAGGAGTAAAGCTAAATTTTAGACAACAAAATCCTAATTAACAAGGATTAAACTACAGGTGAGTCTAATTATTCCTTACACGTCAGTCAGAATACTGTAGCAAAAGTGATACAAAAATTTAACAAAGATGGAACTGCAACTATCTCACAGAGACGTCCAGGCTGTCCAAGGAGGTTAACTCCTCTACAGGAGTGTCTTCTGATCAGAAGGGTTGAAGAAAATCGCCATGCAAGTTCACTGCAGTTAGCTGAAGTAGAAAGCCAAACTTGGGTGATTGTTTCCTGTGATATAATACAGCGTACACTGCAGAGGAATAGCATGCATGGGTGTCATCCACGAATTAAGCCTCTCCTAAACCCCATGCACAAAAAAGTCCACCTAGAATTTGCCAGAGCCCATGCTGAAAAATAAGAAGACCACTGGGAGTCTGTACTCTGGAGTGATGAGACCAAGATAGATGTTTTTGGAACTGATGGCTTCAAAACTGTATGGCGTAGCAAAGGTGAGGAGTAGAAAGAAAAATGCATGGTGAATACAGTGAAACATGGTGTCCTTCTGTTGGGGTGCATGAGCGCTGTTGGGGTTGGGGAGCTGCATTTCATTGATGGTATCATGAATTCACACATGTACTGCTCTATATTGAAAGAGAAGATGCTACCAACACTCCGTGCCCTTGGTTATCGTACACTTTTCCAACATGACAAAAAAACACACATCTAGGCCCACTGTGGCATTTCTGAAGAAGAACAGGATGAAAGTGATTCAGTGGTCAAGTATGTGTCCTGATCTGAACCCAATCGAACACCTATGGGGAATTCTGAAGAGATAACTTGAGCATCACTCTCCATCCAGCATCCCGGCTCTAAAAGAGGTTGTTCTTGAAGAATGGAAAAAGATCGATGTTGCAATATGTCGCCAACTTGTTCATTCCACGCCTAGAAGACTTGGTGCTGTCCTTACAAATCATGAAGATCATACAAAATACTAGATGGAGTAGTTTTTGTTGTGGGGTGTATTCATTCTTGCAGCAACCAATTTGAGTAAAACTGAAGATTTTGTAATCTATGTTATAATATTACCCTTGCTTTCATGTAATGAACTAAAAATGTTCTATAAAACTCAGTTTTGTCAAGGTTTTGGAAATTGTTTTTGTGTTCATTGAGATATTGAATAAAATCTTACTTTTCAAATGGGGTGTACTCATTTATGCTGAGCACTGTAAGTAGGAGGAGGGGGGGAAACTTACTGTATATTTACACTTTAAGTAGGTTCACCCCCATTTCCTTGTGAGTTTCCCATCTCTTTGTGCTGCTTTATTTGCATGAAATGCCTAGTGAATCCTGACATTTCCCCTGTTTTCCTATCTCAAACTGACCACACTAGGCAGGAAAACACATCCATCCTAGCGTGGTCAGTTTTCTTTTTTGTATTGTACTTGAGAGCACAATATTCAAAAATTAGAAAAACAAAAAAAGTTCCTTACTAATAATAAGGAAACAGTGATTCAAAAATTAATTCAGTGATATAAAATAGAAATCAATCCATAAACACAAAAATAATATAGTGTACAGAATTGTATATACGCTTGTGAACAAACATGCACTCACTGCAAGAACTGAATAAACCTCAATACACTCATTGTGAGTGATCTATGTGTCCTGGAGAACATACATCTGAAAAACATAACAGTCAGGATAGGCAGTCAAACCGCTTACGGGACCTTTATGACCCTCAGTATGTGAGTGGTCACAGAAAGCTTGAGAGCAATAAATCAATTTGCCTTCAGATAAATGGAAAGGTTATGGTCCTCTCAGCAATGATCCATGTAAAGGGAAAGCAACACAAAGAGAAAAACAACCTCCATGGTGTAGTAGGCAGTAAAATGCCACTTTAATTAAAGTAAAAAGTACACTCACATGTTAAAAGGATAATGGTAATGCCACAACAATATTAAAAATCCCACAGAGAATTCCCAGCCATCGGCTGGTATGCGCATCAGTACATTATTGCAATGTTTATGGATTGATTTCTATTTTAGATTCCTGAATTCATTTTTGAATCAACATTGTATTCTTACTAGTGCAGCACTTTTTTTTGTTTAGTTTTTGCATGGCAGTGGCCATCTTGAGTAAGGCCTGTTCCTGATAAACGAGTTAAAATTCACTTAGTGGATGGCCCTGTCAGCCCCTTCCTGAAGAAGCAAAAGAGCAGGGCAGAAAATTGTTGGTCAAACAGTGGCTGTTTCTAATCAGATGAAGACGATATTTGGGTATTCTGAGAGCCGCTGGCTTGATTTCACAAACATACCAAAGCCATATTTCCTTGAGAAGGTATGTATTTCAGCAGTGCAATTAGATCTTTGACTGGAGCCCTGCCTTCCTACTTTAATTTCATTGTAACTTTTTTTTTTTTTTTTTTTTAACTTGTTTGACTGTAAAATATGTGTACAGAGACCAAGACAGATAAAACAGGGAAACCTAAAAGCTGACAATTATCACCATAAGTAAAAGGAACCTCACCCAGTGGGGTTACTTGTTTCAAACGAAATAGACAGGATTTTCCCTTATTGTATGAAGGCTTTCTCTCACTTTCTGCTATGTCTTTGGGACAGAAAGTTAGGGGAAAGCTCTGTAAACAAGGCAAAGACGCAATAAAAAAATCGTTTTTATCCCTTTTTTATGCTATACAAAATGAAAAAAAAAAAAAGAAAGTGTTATGCCCAGAGTTCTACTTTAAGTCAATGAATTGAAGCAACAAAACTGTAGAAGAATGGAAGAAAAATAATATGTCAGTTAGTACATGTTGCTACTAATTGTAAGATTAAGAAAAATCCTTTTTAAGCAAAGACACCACACTTTTAAAATGCAAACATTAGAAACACTGTAGAAGCAAAACATTGATTTCTCACCTTGCATAAATGCCGCTAACCATGTCATGTTGTAGGGACTCATCTGCCAATTTACTTGGTCCAGCTGCCTTAGAAATAAGCAACACCACTAAGCCTCGCATCTGAAGGTTGTTGCGACTATCATACACAAAGGCTCTGCAAATAAAAAATAAAATAGGATAAAGGCTCATCAGTACAGTATGTGTGAAGGCAAACTAAGAAGCCAAAAAATAAGTTGAGAAACTGTGTCCTAATGTCTTTGCTTTCAGTATTTTCCTATCATCTAGGGGTTTTCTGTACTACACTAAAGGATTTCTACAAGCCAGCTTCTGTCGTTAATTGCTTCCAGCTTAACTGTCACTTAAAACACACAAGCTGACATGTTTAAGGTATTCTATTACAACCATTTCTATGGTGCAATTGACAGGACTCTCTTCTGGAAGACAGACACTCACAATGCCACAAAAAGATGACTTTTGTGAACTGTGGACATAACTCTATGACCTGCAGCTGTCTGAAAAGCCAACTTATCTGGACAACTAACCTGCATTTAGATGATGACAGTGTCATTCTGCTTAAAAGTATTTTTTTTTGTAGTTTTTTTTTTTTTATAGAGGTTTGAATTTAAAATCATCTAACAGTATACATTTTATTAAGCTCTCAGGTTTGCATACCTGGTGGAATAAATTATTAGGGCCCTATTTGCCCTTAATTTATACTATGCACATTCCAAGTGAAGGGGTGAAATCACCTTACTCTTCATTCATCTACAGAAACTACACTTCTTACATCTGACATTTTTTGAGATACAACTTGCTCCATGGGCATTGGATATTAGGCAGACTATATTAGGTTGAAATTGGTTTAGATGGTAATGTATAATTTTTATGATTCCATTCCACAGGATGCAGGTCTTCACCTGAAGGGAAACCATATTCCCTATCAAAGGAGGATTTTTCCATCCAGGGGAAATTTGTGATTTTTATTGTTTTTTTAATAGTTTTATTATAATGTATCTGTGTTGCATTGAACATAAATAAAGTCTTGTACATGAGTCTTAAAGAAAAATTGTACTTTTATAGTAAATATAGTAAACCCCTCTAATCCACCCTGCCCCTCGTGAACTAACTCACTATACTAATCTTTCTCCCTTCCTCCAGTCCAGATTCTTAGGCAGCCCATACATTAGTAGGTTTTTTTTTGTTCAACCTGCAGACAGTCTCTTACCTAGGTTCACACCTAAGCATTTTCTGCAGCGTTTTACAGAAACGCACTACAGTTCATTTAACATGATTTCCTATGGGACATGTTTACATCTCTAGCATTTAGTGCACTTTTGATGCATTTTGTGACGTTTTTGATGCATTTTGCATTTTAAATCTGCCTAGCAAGAAAAAAAAAACACAAAATGCATCAAAAAACGCGGCAAAAAGGCATAGAAAATGCAGGTGCAAAAATGCAATGCGAAAAACAATGCATACATGGGTCAAACGCAAAACTGCATAGGTGTGAACCTAGCCTGAACCCCATAGGCTTGCATCCCACTAACAGCTCCAGAGGAGGAAAAAGTTGCTCAGGATGTAGCCTGGGGAAGGGGGGTTAGTGCAGGTGAGTTCAGGTGCTACAGGGCAGGATATCTTTTAAAGTACATGCAATCCCTAACTGAATGATAATAACTTGATAATGCATTGCATATCATCATTGCCATTTTTATCATCCTTTGAGTCATCTCAGACTGCTAATATCTTGCAGCATCTTGCGATAATTTCCTATTTACATGCATGCGTTCCTACAATGACTGCATGGCATTTCTAAAGCAAGGCTGCTCTTGTGACAAAAGTAAACGAGGCCTCAGTAATGTGCGTAGAACCAGCCAATTGTTGTCTCCATTGGAAAGCTGTATGACAGAGTAACCAACAAAGGAGCCCAACAAGGAAACAGTAACTAAGTGTTTTTACCCTATAACAGGAAACACCTGAACTAGGACCTCCATAGAAGATCACCAAATATTATTTTAATGAAAGTTGCAGACATAAAATATTGAAAATTACTTCCATGAATGTAATTATTTAATGTAATTAATCTCTCCTGGTGATTTTGAGAAGATTATTTACTAAAACTGTGCAAAATCTGCTGCAGCTCTGTATAGAAACCAATCAGCTTCCAGGTTTTATTGTCAATGCTCAATTGAACAAGCTGAAGTTAGATGTTGATTGACTACCATGCACAGCTGCACCAGATTGTGAGTGCACCAGTTTTAGTAAATCTACCCCAATGTGTGCAGAAAGCCAGGCAAGACTCAAGAATGGGGTGATGTCTCGTGGAGCAACTGCAGTTTGCACTGTAGAGGAGATAACCAAATTCATGGTCAAAGTTAATAGTCATCGTGAACAAATACTACTTACTGTGAATAGTGAATAAGTCAAAATAATCTAGGTTCACTGTGAGCTGTTTCAATGCAATACATGCAGATACTTGCAGTGCTTGGCTTTTTCCCACAGGTGCACTTAAAAGAACAGCAGTTGCATAAAATCATTTTGGTAATTGCATTGCATAATAGCAAAACTAATAACAAAAGCAATTTAAAAGGTCTGGGGAGTGTTTCTTATTTATCCTCTCTCCTTAGCACAATATTTGCTAATTTCACACACAGCTAAAATAATGTGCATGCAACTTTGCTTCTTCAATTAATGATTCTGCCCTAAATTACCCAAGAGTGACATTTGTTTTGACAGTCGCATAAGCATGTGCAGGATTTTTTGGGATGCTGTTCTATAACCCCGGGCAGCTGATAATGAACTGCCTTATCACTCTGACTATGACAGTACACCCGTACACATTTTTCCTCATTT